ACCCTAGCAGGACAGAATTAATCCCTGAGCAGGCTCTACGGGGCGTTTTTTTCCAACCAGAGGCACCGTTATAGAACCTAACCATGGTGCAACATGCCGCTACACGCCCACCGCAACCGCCCGCCCACAAATGGCCGCACAATCACACCAGTGTTGATACTCTTACCGTTTCATTTCCGAAGTACAATTGATATGGAGCGCTGCTTCACGAATGTAGGAATACATGTGTGCAACTGCAACCTTATCTATCAAAGCGGATGTTGGCACGATGCCAGCGGGAAACTCGTCCAAAAATTCTCGTCCAGTGCCGTGCAGAACAAAGGCTTTTTCCCAGCTTTCTGGCCGAGTAATTCTCTTTTGCCGTCAGTTTCCCGTTTTATAGCACCCCTGCTGCGATTTGTAAGCAAATACCAAATTATCATGCCTTAGGCTGCGTTTATACTTTGCGGCAGCGTAGCGCTTCCAGCGTACGCCAGCGCACGCTAGCGTAGCGAGGGCACGGGAAGCATAGCTATCGATCTAGCGCTCCCAGCGTTTCACTAGCGTTTGCAGCGGCGGGGCTAGAGAGTATAGAAGAGTAGGAGAGTATTTTGTACTCTCCTACTCTTCTATACTCTCTAGCCCCGCCGCTGCAAACGCTAGCGAAACGCTAGTAGTGAAACGCTGGAAGCGCTACGCTACGCTGCCGCAAAGTATAAACGCAGCCTTATGCCTTTGAGTAAGTACTGGCTGTCCCACTCAAGTTCTTCCTTTCCAGCAAACGTCAAGCTCACTGGCTTCGGCCTTATCTATGGACAATCTAGTGAGCACGAGCGGCTTTTTGAGCACAATCGCTTCAACTGGTTTGCCTTCGGCTTTGGATCAGATCCGTGCCTTTGCGGAGAACTCCGCCCTTCTCCCTGATACTGGTGCAACATTGGTTAATGCATTCGGTGCAATGTCACAGGATTCGTCCGAATTCGACAAATCGTCCGAAAAGGTCCTTTTGCACATTTTGTAGTTCTCAGTACCTCAGCATCATAACGACCCCAATTTCAGTTCAATAACTCCGAACCGCGACGAAACAGTAATGGAAAGATGAAGCAGTATAAATGCAAGCAATGCCCACATATTTCATTTTCTAAAGACGATCAATGGGCTCATGCTCGTACTCATATACCTGTTGACAAACAGATGAACTGTCCTACATGCAACTTTGTCACCGAGTACAAGCATCATCTGGTTGGTTTATTTGCACCTTTCGCTTCAACAACAAACTGTCCTACAGCCCCAGAGTATTTTTTTTCTTGGAAATATATGGCCCAGAATTTCGAACTTAGCGCGACGCTTCCGGAATCCCGTTCTTCCGACTTCCGAACAAAGTTTATTGGGAAACTTGGGAACTGCTTCCGATTTCTTGAAAGCTCTGCATAAGCTTCAAAGCTATTGTAAACAAAAGTGAAAAGGTCTTGAGATTTCGAACGGGTACTGGTGGATGTGGAACACAGCAGGGTCGTACTTGGTCGATGGTGAAAAGAAGAAGGGGGGGGGGAAATTCGCCATGTCCTGCTCGATGGGGAGCACCGCTAAGAGGTCAAGTTCTTCACACGCGTATTACATGCCCCTGTCCCATCTGTACAGTCTTGTGGAGAGCCTCAAAGTAGAAAATCTAGCAGTTCTGTGGGCTTCGAATCCTAGGCTCCGTTAGTCTGGGGGGAGGGGGGAAGGGTGGGATAAGTAAGGGATCCCTCGTGCAAAACTGATGCTACGTAAAGGAGCCGAAGACTATTGCTCAAGCCTAGGGGGAGAAGGAGCTCTGCGGTGAAGAACAATTGCGCTACAGTAACTCCTCTGCACGAAGAGTCATTGCAAAATGCCTTAGAAATCCGATCTATTTTGCAATTTTTTATTTTCGATAATTTTAGTGCTTAGCCCTTCCCAGCGTTCTGGAGGTCACATTCTGCCATTGGGGGAGATTTTTGCAAAATTCTGCGGGGGAGCACCACCTGGTTGGTTTATTCGTATCATACGGAGGGGGTATACGGAAAGGAAGACGAGAAAAGTCGACAACCGGGAATTTTTCTTCCCAAATATGGCCTCCCACGACCACTTAGCCCTCCCTCCAGCGACCAAATACGATCCCCTCTCCTCTCGCCGTGGATTCCCAATGCACGACGTGCACTGTTTGGAATAACGTAATAATACAGGAATGTAAACTTTATTTTGTGCCGTCTCAGGACACACAGCTTTGCAAAGCTCCCCTCCTCCTTTCTTTTGTCTTCCTCCTTCCTTCTAGTCCCCTCTTCCTTCTATTCCCCTCCCTCCTTCTCTCGTCCCTCATCCTATTTCTTCTTCCTTCAAATGCTGGACCAATAGGTGCGATGGGAAAACACCTCTGAACCCTTCTGGACGAGAGAGTTCGGATTGAAAAAAGCCCTATAACCATTAATGTGCTGCTTCCACTCGACCCAAAGGCTGGCCTCCACGGCTGCGAACTTGACAGTATTATGCTGTAAAATCTTTGGTGCCATTCATGTTTCCACATTTGAATTCGAATGAGGCTTTGGGACAGCCCAGTAGTACGATACTCTATTACTATTGTACTGCAGATACGCAAATAATGGGAACAGACGCTAATCATGCATTTTTCAGGAATATCATATTCGAAATCATATCGGAAGTAAGCCATTTCAATGTAAAAAGTGCAGTTACACATGCGTGAATAAATCGATGCTCAACTCACATATGAAAAGCCATACAAATGTGTACCAGTTTCGATGTATGGACTGTACTTATGCGACGAAATACTGTCATAGCTTAAAAGTACTTGTTGAACTTCCTCATTTTCAACACATGCATGCAAAATATGATTATTGATCCGCTTATTTTTCAGCTTCATCTGAAGAAATACGATCATCGTCGTGTGCCAGATGGCATGGAAATGGGGGATACTTCACCAACACAGTCCAAACCTGAGCCTCTTACACCCTATTCAAACTTCGCGATGAAACTGGACGCACCATCACCGACCACAACCCTAGCACAGACCCTGGGACTCTCTCCGATTGTTACCAGTCAGAGTTTGAACTATGCCAGTCAAATGTTACTTAGGCAACATCAGGTAGGTGATTACTAGTTGAATAATATGAACCCGATTTTGATGAAATCCTCGTCAGATGGAGCAGATGAGCTCATTGATCGGCAATTTGCCATCATTACCACAACCATTGACCTGTGCAGTATGCGACTTCCAAACCAGCTCACAGGAAGAGCTGATGAGACACAATGTGAATCATTTCCTGAACCAGTCGAATCAAAGTCCGATTGTCAGTCTCTACCAGTCACTACCCCAGGTAATTAGGTGCTACAATGCCCCTAATTAATTGCCATTCCTGTATGCTCTCTCTTCAGGTCAATTCGTTTATCCCACCGCTTGAGGCAATCGCAGACAAACCAGTAAGCGTTGACACTCAAGAAGAACGTGATAGTGGGCATGTTGGTGATGATGAGATGGAAGGCAGTACTGGCAGTACGATCAGTCCCCATTGCAGTTCGAAGGGTAAGCATATATCACCATAATCAGTTCAAGTACTCGTTACTCATTCAGCGTATGCAGGGTCGGGTGACGAAACTGAACAGCCCGGAAGAAAAATCAAAGCCTTCAAACTGGAGCAGATCAGTCAACGTCTTCAAGGGAAGAGTCCATCACTCAGTGAAGACAGCGACGAGAAGGAAGCAGGAAAGGTTCGTTGAAGTCTTTTGAAGCAGGGCATATCAAAGCTTCACTTACCTTGAGGGTGAGGTAGGGGTAACTCGCATCGAATTCAGTACCAAATTCTGTAAAAATAGGGAGCAGGGGGAAGAGGGAGAGATATACCCCATATCGCAGAGATGAGGAGGGCGTGGCTGCGTAAATACTTCACATAATCATGATGCAATGTTCACTTCCGAGGGATATTTCCATCTGGGAACCATTACCGCATATTGTGCTGAACAAAGATACGAGTACGATCGCCTCAGAACGGTGGTACTTCACCAAAAGTGCGGCCACTACCACGTCAAATAGAGCAAGGAGCCACGCCCATCCAATTTCCAGGTTGTAACCCTTCGTAACGCCTCAGAAAGGGGAAAACCAGCAATCGCAGAATTTTACTGGACATACACGAGTGATTCTCCTTTTCTCGAGGATTCCTTGTGGGGAAAAGTCTGAGGAGCACGGAGTATTAGAGAGAAGAGAAAAGGCTACCGTAGTGATTACAGCAGTACCACTTTCCCAGAAATGAACAGTAGAAACCGATTATGAGCGGCGTCGGTTGGACCTATTGACAGTAAAATAATCCCATATTTCAGCTGCACGCTAAGCGTGAAATGTCACCGATTCCTGAATCGCCTACGCCAATTGCTGTGTCGAGCAGTGTCGTTAGGTCCGTAGGGCAGCCAGCGTTCCAGCCATTCTCATCCGAAAATAACCAACTGAACATCTTTCAACGAGCATATCTAGCTCAGCTGAACGCGCTCAATCTGAGGCGAGAAGAAGCCTCATGGCGATTCCAATGTCATCACTGCCGTATGGCTTTTCAGGTTTGTTACTGCTTAAAGGGAGTTTGTTGTTGTGGGCGGGCGATTGTTACCAGTGTCATTGATGAAGGGCTGGATGGGGTGTGGCCAAACGCCCTCTCGCAGCCTCTCCACCAATGACGTTGGCAACAACCGCCCACCCCCATCCATCGTGTCCATTGCCTGTAACTCCATTTTTCATCATTTTAACATGTGTCGTTTCAGGATCAAGCGCTTTACCACATTCATATGGGCTATCATGGTTATGAGCACGTATTCAAGTGTAACCGATGTGGCCATATTGCACCGGATTCATTAAATTTCAATTTGCATTTGCTGCAAGCATCACACGAGTAGAAGAAACAGAAGAAACAAAGAAAAGCACGCGACCACGTCGTTGTCGTCAATTTGGTCGATTATCGATCGTCGATTAGGGTCGATTATCGATCATCAGAAATCATCACATGCATTGTGGGGCGCCACACAAATCACGCTGTTCTTGCTCCATCATGCTGGTTCACTTTGATTTGGCCTCGCATTGGGCCAATGTGACCCGTTCGTTGTCCATTCCCTGTCGTACGCTAGTAATAACTTTCCAATGAACCGCATCGGTTCAACATTGTACATATTATGACCTACATTAATCGATATTTCTTTGAATCACCCGCCAATTTTGAGAATTGTTGTAGTGTGACCTACGTCGTTTTCGCGCGTAACCCTAAACCTCATCACTTCTCAGGCGCCGTGCGTGTTTTTTTATTTTTTTGTTGTTTGTTGTCCTCAATCGCTAGATTCGTTCGACTTTTTGGGCTCAAGTGCGCTAAAATGTTATTGTTTGGCCATAGATGACAGAATGATGAATGTTGGAAAAATCAGAACACGTTAAGGTCACTTCCATTTTCGTTTTTATTTCTTTGTTTTTTTTTCATTTTTCCTCCATTTCCTCCTCATACACATCGAGTTACACGTTCCTCGATTATTCAGGGATTCGCGGGCTGTTAATTAGCTCATCAATTATTGGAACATATTTTTTGTCTTGAAAAATTCGTTTGTCGAACCATTCGCCTATGTAGTTGAAGGCTGATTGTGGCGCTGGTGAAATAACCATTTTTGATCTACCAAATTTTCAGCGGTCACCATCAGTTCACAAGAGTACCTCACGTATAGTTGATTAGACATCTGCTAGCGATTTATTCAGTCTCAACTTACTAATAGTACATTTTTTTACTGTTACTATTTGATCACTGTTCCTCAGCGCTGCTCGTATCTTCGCCATTGGTCATACAGTCCGAGAGTACTTGTCTAGTTCGCCTGTTCTACCTCCTTGAATGAGTAATATTTGCTATTATCATCTATTATTACCTATCATCATCTATTATCACATGCGTGTGTGTCTGTACGGTTACTTACTCAGGGTTGTATCGTCGAAGCCGAACTTCAGACCGTTGTTAACTAGTATGCCAAAAGCCACCATTCTCATTATCATCACGTTAACCTATTAGACACCAACTAATCAATTATCGATTGCTAGTATTACCTCTACTCGTATAATTACTGTAGACGTGGACAAATGAAATCAGTCTTGTATATAAACAAACATTTACATACATATAATCGGCAATGTAATTAGTATCAGATACCAAATCGGAGTTCATTCTCATTCAATACATTCGTATTTAACTGGCAACACTCGATTTTCTTTTTTAAACAGCAAAAATACTAGTGTCAATGATGTTCTATATATTTCATATATAATATTTATTATATACATTGTCATCATTTGTCCCGATTCGCACACATCGTCGATACACCTCATTCATTACTTTGTCATACCTCGATTGTAACAAGTATCTCGTCATTAAAAAAATTTGTTTCGTTTTGTCCGATTTAATGCATGCCTCCTTTAAATAAACATTTTTTAATAACGATTTCTTTGTTGTTACAGCGAAAGAAACTGCTTCCCATTACTGGTCATTTTTTGAATCCAGGCCACATTTCGATCAAAATCGGTGCCGTTCGGCTTGGAGGGGGTATTTTGCACTTATGTTTCCTTTTGTTGCTCACTGTTCTGAAATGTCTCATTTGGTGAGACTCGTGAACTCCTGGGAAAATGATTCTTTGAGTGAACCACATTGATCACACTTACACCCAATACTCCGGAGATGAAGGGGCGTGGCTGCGCACATCATTTGATCATAGCTGTGACTGCTCTCCTGGTGGGAAATTTAGTTTTGACACACTAGTAATCGAGTCTTTGTTCACCCCATAACAAGATAGCAGTTGTTCCGAACTGAAATTCATCCATCGAAAAACGAATTCTACGCTATGCTCAGTTGAACTACGCTCGCCACGCCTACTCTCTCAACGGGATAAGGAGTGCATATACGAGTCTTCCCAATGTGGTCAGTATAAGCCGAGCTGTGCACCATCTGGTGCCCCCATTAGGCTGGATCGCGCCCGGAATTCATTTTTTTTATTAGATTTTGGTAGTTTGGAGGTGGTTTTACCAGTGAAAATGAATGACCTCTTTGACAAAAAAGACGGTAGGAGCCCGCTTTTAGGCACCAGCGCTGCATACTTCTTGGCCTTAGTACCCGTAGCGCACGCCTACCCACTCCACTCGAGAGGAAAACTTTGATCACAGTCTAGCCAGAATTCCGCCGAATGGTGCAGTACAGGTTGAATAGTGATCTCTGAAATACTGAGAAGTCCTCACTATGTCAATATCCGTCTAGACTTCCATATTTTTTTCAATACCGCGATGCTAGTGCTCAAAAAAGTCACGTGCTGCCAATGCGCGCAGGAAAAATTCGTCCCGGAACTTCATAAAGTGCACGCGCAGCTATTTGTGGAAGGACATTTCCGGGACTTTCAAGTTTGGTGCACTTCTTAAAAAAGAGCTATATCCACATTAAAACGGAAAAAAACATCGGTTAACAGTTGATGTCGGCAGTTGCGAGATCGAAGAAAATCTTTCCTGGATTAGAAAGCGCCGATGCTATCCTGGAAAGGAGGTGAAAGGTCGTTTTCATGGTGCAAAGAAGTAGTTGAGCTAAAGAGTGGTGGATTTCATCATGGGAATAGTGGGAATCTCCTGCCTTACTGGCGAATCCGTCCGCATTCAAACGTTCAATCTAGAACTTTCTCAACTTTGCTGTAGTCCAACGCTCAGCGGTGGAGCGCAGCCTGTTGCAGTCGCGCGGTCCCCCTTCACACCCCAGTCGCGAGATCAAAGATTCACAAAGCACATGAGGTTTTTACCCCATCCCTAACAATAAGGCAGCGTTCAGACTTCGCGACTGCAGCGCTTCGGTTGCGCGATTCGACGATCGATGCGCATGCTTTCGACTGCATCGATCGCGTCGAACGCGCGTCCGGGCGCTACGATCGCGATCTGAACGCTGCGTAAGAGTCTGCGCTCTCTCACGTCTGGCTGTCCTCTACCGCTTATAGCGTGTTCGCTGCGAGATTTCGGTATCGGCGCAAGCGTTGCACGTTGAAGATAACACGATGGACTTCGGAACAGCACCCGGATACTGCTACCCTTCAGCCTGAGCGCGCGGGCATAATAGATGAGTACTCTTTAGGCTCCGCTCGCCTATTTAATATGCTGTAAACAACACAGAGACACGCATCACGCCACACGCCCACCCATACGTCTTTCCATAGTCTGAGCTACTAGTGTGCGTCTTTTCACCTCTGAAGAGCCATTATTCTCTAAAGCTCCGCTAACGGCAGCGTGTCAACACGTGGGCTAGGTTGTACAGATCACATAGCCGTAGTGAGATGAAGTGGAGCGTTCGATCCGCAGAATTTGGCGTTTCATACTTTTCTGACCGGCTAGGTTTTACAGATCTGCTTCGATAAAGGATACAGAGCAAATTTCACCAGTATACGAAAAGAGTGAAGTGAAAATCCGAAAAAGTCACTTAAAACATATTTGATCGTAAGAATAACGACATATCAGTTTGTTTAATACGGCAAGGAAGCGAAAATGGGTATTACAGCCTATTTCAGATCCTCAACTATAAAACTGCCTTATCAGATGATGTCAGACGTAGCGTTTAGCCTGTTAGTGACCGGGCCTCATTGAGATAAGAAGGCGCACGATATAGAAGACGGTTGAGTGTTCACTTTGAATTGATTCGTGTTCGCCCTCGTGATATTCAAACTGCCTCCATTCGGGAAATGACACCTCCTGGTATCTCATTACTATTTTATTTACTAGCAATTACTGCCGCACAGAATCCATCGTCAACATTGCAGTTTGTTGAATTTGTAAGCGTTTCAACTTGTTCGAGAAGTCGAAATCTTAGCAATCGATCAATGTTGTTGTGAGGAATTGTATTTAATTTTTACTATGAAGATTTTCTAAGCATTCAGTGGTTCCGACATGGCGAGCGAACACCGACGCACTATATGTATTTCCCAAACGAAACCCCTTCTGTTCCATACACTGAAGCTGAGGCTGGAGAGCTTACGAATGTAACATTTTTTGAATGTAAATGCGAATCGATTTGTGAATATTATATAGTTCTATGTCATGCAGTTATTTCTCAGAACTTACGGGTTGACTTCCTAGTGAACCTAAAGACACATTCTCCTGTGACGAAAGGTGGAGGAATGGGCTGGTACCGACAAACATTGCGCTCCCCTCATTGGCGTGCTCCTGATCTTTATCGTACCGAATAGAGAGCACACCAATAAGGAAGGCAAATGGTTCAGTATCCCCATCTATCTCTCCACCCACCCAGTTCACGAAGAATATGCCTTTAAGCATGACTTAGATGTTCTAGAGGGGAGTTCAACAAGCCTATCAGCGAGGAAAGTTCATACGGCAGCGCTACGATACGTTCCTTGGCAAAGTGTATCGCCCTTCAGAGGTGAGTCGTGCAATAAATGTAATTGTCTCTGATCTTGATATATTCTTATTTTACTGCAATCCATATCCAGCAAATGGAGAGGGCGTGGCTGCGTACCTCAGTCGACAGTGGATGCGCTTTTGTTGCGATTTTTCTGGTTTGGGGCAATTAAAAACGTGTCTCCGCTTAACGCATCATACAGTGACACTTGTCTCAAATGGGAATTTCCCGCAAGCATAGCTTCTGCGCCTACGCCCATATCAACTACGCAGCCACGACCCCTCCATCTCCAGGATATGGAGGGCACGTAAAGTGACGAGGTGGTATAATGGCGTTCCTCACGCCAGCAGATCATGCCAAACACAATGCTTTAGATCCACGTTTGGACCGGCAAGGACAATCGTACTGTGGTAACCGCTGAAGCAGTACTTGCGGCGGTCTACCCACCAGATCGAGCTCACAGGTGGTCTCCTGAGCTCAACTGGCAGCCAGTCGCTGTACATACTGATCAAACCATAGATTGGGTATACTGTTAGATATATTTTGGCAGTACTTCACAACCCTTCACTTGACATATCGCAGGTTTCCACTGGGATTGATCACGTTTGTACTGAATACGAGAAGGCATTATTCGATACACCACAGTACAGGAAGATACTGGATCCATTCCGACCAAATCTGACAGAGTTTCTCGAGAGTAATACTGGAGTAAATATCGCGACTCCGGAGGACTTCAATAATGTCATCGATGCGCTGGTGACAAAGGTTACTGAAGGCTTTTGATTAAATTTTTCTCGAACATCCTCAAATTTGTAGAGTTTATACGTACGCTGGGGAGCGGAAGAGGCATACGTGGCAGTGCCGCTTACATTTGAAGTTACGCAATGCGCGTGTACTAACATTAAGCCTTCACGCTCAACCACTTCGGGGACAAATGTCGCGCGCGACGCCATTTGCAACCCCGCACTGCCGCAATGCGGGCTTCTTGACTAGTAATCGAATTCAGATAATATCGACTGAAACGCTGTTATTGCGCCTGAAGCGTGCTGGGACCAGCTGTTCCAAATGTGCAAATGCTTTTCTTGACCTTTCATCGTGATAAACACACTCCGGTTTTTCCTCGTATACCCATCCGGAAATTGTTGTTGAAGTCCAATTATTAGCGGTGGAGCGCGGTCGGGTGCAGTCCTCTCGGTTGCGCGATTGAATCACACAAACTCAAGTTTCAAAGGAGACCAATGAGCTACCTATTCCAACCCTCCTTAGCGGAGCCCAACAGCTACCCAGAAACGCGTTACTTGATAACTTGAATGGTAACTCTTTGCGTGGAGAGGTGGGATGGACGGCAACGGAAAAACTTACGGAATTTTGACATTTCAAGCAAAATTTCATTTTGACAATTGTTGCAGCTTTATTCGATCAATTATTCGTGAAAAACCATTGACCCTTTTTCAGTTGGCCCTCAATGATGCACGACTCCCCTACCCGAAATGGGCAGAGCACATACGAAAAAATGTGTCGTCGTTCCGCGCCATTTTTCACCAAAGAATGATCGACGCACAGAGTGACACAGCAGGACGTAAGGTGTTAAAAAATTCTTTGGACCCTGAATTCTAGAAACGCTGATGGTTGCTTATTACGGAGACTCGATTAGCCCTGAACCCTGCCCTGCCCACCTGGAGAGGCCGTTAGCTACTGGTGTTCCAGTCAGTCCCCTTCGCAGTACTGTTCCAAGTCTATAGTGAGAGGCTACTGCAATAGGGAAAGGACGGGGCATGGCATTGGAGGGCGATTGGATTGTGTTCGTAAGTCCGCTCGTCTTCGTAGTCTTACTCGAATCGGTCCTTCCCTCTCTCCAGGGCCAGCTTCAAATGAGCACGGACTACCGCAAACCGCGTGACTCTAGTCTAGTAATGTGCCCCCTCCCGTTAGACATTCTTAATTACCATTGAATTGCTGATTCTTATTTCAGGATATCATTCCGAGATGCTACTCTCATTCATCGAAGATCACCTCAATAGACCGCAAATTGCGAGGAACAAGGCCGTATTTGTGTCAGGGGTGAGCAGCTTAGAGAAGTCGCTTGAATTCCATCTTCTCAAAGTGGAAGGGGCATTGCTGCGTACTCAACATGAAATACGATACATTTTTCGTGCAATGTTTCGCTTTGAAACAACTCACATCTTTCTTAGGCTGAAAAAAACGTCCAGCCTTAGTCTGCGATTCTCCCAAAAACGCCGACATCCTGCCGAAAACGTAACCGTCGCCGCGTTTGAATGATGTGCGCGACCACGCCCCCTCCAACTTCGGGAGAGCATAATCAAAATTATAGAGAGAGAGATTGCCGGATAATGTACTTTTTTCAGCACGATACTAATTTCATGACACTCGGTCGGCAACTTGACGTCTCCCCATTAGCCAATGAAACAGTTCCATTTGCAGCTCTACTGGCCGTTGAGCTGCACTTCATCAACGGAACCTACTTTGTAGAGGTATTGCCTGTGTTCGAAATTCAATCTAGCCCGCCCTAATGTTTGGGTTATGGGAGGTGTGTGAGTCGCTCATGATTGGTCGTTGTCGGTCCTCACCAATCACAGTGATATCTACTCACTTCTTCTCAATATCGTGTCTTACCGCACAGTTTACCTTTACATTCGATACGGCTTCAGCTGTGGCTTTCACCATCGCTCGATGACGAACTCTTTCGTGTGAATATACCTCAATGCACGCACCCGTGTAAATTGGAAACATTGAAGGGCATTTTACAGGTATGTGTAAAAGGAGCAATTGACAAAACCGAATTGACGGGGCGGGTCAGTGTAGCGTGGATTGAGCGGAACTGCGCCAACTTGTTTGCCAACATTCGCTGCCAGATGCGGTGAGCACTGATTGGTGGGAAATGAACTGGCTCCGCTCCAGAATCCGCACAACATTGACACGCCTCGTCGATTCGATTGCTGACAACTATATATAGAAAATAAAATTGCAGGGAAGACGTCTAACAAGAGACGCGTGGGAAGTGCAATGCCGTGGTTTCGGGGTCCATACCGGATACGATGGTATTGTAACAGGTAAGGAAGCAAGTCTTCGAACAAGTATTGTCTACTTCTCCTTTACTGTGCTTGTTCACCTGTACGGCACCGCGCCAAAGCCAACCTCCTGACATGACCCAGTATGTGCAACAGCTACCGTACCATCTTCTCATAGTCTACCACCTCCCAAACTGCCCCATTTCCAGAAAATTCCTAAGTTCTTCTTCCGCAAAGGAAATCAATTAATGGCTGGTTGATTGATAGATAGAGCAGGAAAATTTGCGAAAGGGCAACAAAAAGAAAATATTTTTCGCGCTTCGGAAGAACCTCTCTCAAAGCCAGATACGATCTCTTTCGTCTGACGGCTACCCCCCATGACCAAGCATGGCCCTCGATGGTATTGCCTGTCGTTGCCAGTCGCCGTCCCCTACGCTCTCTCCAAGAGCACTTGTTCTCTCCGGAATTACTATCGATTTTACGCGTTTCAGCGTCGATGATTCTTCTACTGGCCATATTTGTCATATCAACGGTGATCCTTGCCTGTACAACATATTCGTATCGAAAGCAAGTAAAAGAGCTTCAAGATCCTGAACGACGACGTCTCCTGGAAGAGTCATAATTTGAACCTGTGACAGTCTTAATTGTTGTTTTTCCTCAAGAAAAGTAAAAACGAGTTGCTTGCGGGACCAGCGCCATTCTACTTTCGTTCATGGCTTGGAATGTGAAAGTGAATAAAGTGTTCACGACTCTGATTATTAGTTTTCTTACTTAAATGTGCATATTTTATCCAGTCTTCACTGCTTTTGACCTACTCAACGCTCTATGAAACCAAATTGATATTGGCACGTTCTTGGCTACCGTTCGTATGAAATGATATTCGGGTCGTAGGCGCGATGCTTGTGAGAGTACAGACGAAAAAGAAGCAGAGACGAATATGTAAAGGAGAGCCGCCGGAGACCTCTGCACAATCCTCAATAAGTAGTGTAATCTCTCTCAGAAAATATCTCATATAATAGCTCAGAGGGGTGTGACAACTTCCACGGGCGGTGCTCCTTCACCAACTAGCGGCCGCATGCCCTCTTCACTCACTATCGAGCTGCGAGGGCGACACGAGAGTAACGCACATGCTACTTAGTAGTCAATAATTTCTGGGCTTATGCTGCTCAGCGTGTTGACGGAATATAAGTAGAATTCGTGAAAACTAGTACTATACTCCAAACTAGTACCACTTTGAAGACTGACCACCTGAGCGCATCACATACATTTGGCGCGAAAGATTTAGCGTTGACGCTAAGCGTTATGCGTCAAACTGATGTAGTATTCGTGCTCAAGGGTTGAGTTACAGTCGCTACCCTATCGGTGCCTCACAATGAGGCGTTCCCGCGTGCATACGCGCCGGAGCCATACGTTTCCATCAGCCTTTGCCACAATGGGGCGAGCAGCCATTGGTGGAAAAAGGATCTGGCGCCGCGCCAAAACATGGGTGGACAGGAACTCCTCCACCCAACGTTGCGATATCGAAGGGAACAGATCTCTAGTCCGTTCCAGGATGTAAGAGGGTAACAAATTCCAATTGATAAAGGGCTGAATCAATAAAGAACTGAATACCCAGCAAGGCCGAATTTTCTTCTGATGTTCAATCCTCGTGACTCATCGCGTCACTTCCTCCACCTCTCCTTCTATGAATAATATCGACCTCGGTCCTTGGCAACGCTTCCCGAGCTTTCCGAATTCATTGCTGTCACACGTCACCGGTCCTCCAGCGATACTGAACATCTAGGGCTATAGTAGCCCATTATGTCCTGTAAGTTTCACTTCTCATGCTGAGTTCAAGCTCACAATCGCTGATTGGTCGATATTGTTCAAAAACAGCCTTAATGACAAATAATTGCTAGTATTGTCCTTCATGACCAGGCGGAAACTGATCAAAGCTTTGGCCGGGGACTCTCCTCTGGAATAGCCTTGGCCTCTAGCTTGACTATAGAATATTTCTTGAGAAAGTAGCGTTGGCGAAAGGCTATTTTCTCAAGAAATTTTCTACAAAGAAGCTAGGGTAGTTAAACTATTTCTGCTCCAATTTTTCAGCGCGCACAGATTCGCCGTCGCTATCGCATTAAGACAGTATCCACACCATGGTACTGCGCATGTTATCTGAATAAACGCCAACGAGGAAAGAGTTAGGAACGGTCCACGTTCCTAGTGAAGGGCGGAGACAGAGAACTAACTAGATAGAAAAATATAGGGAGAGATTTGCAGCTCTTTCCCCAATGGCGTGCCCCTTCCCTTACACATTTAGATTGAGCCTTACTTTTATTGAACTCTGTTCCTGGGAATTAGCGCAGTAGTAGAAATATCACCCAAATTTAGGGAGCTCAAGTCGTAGATGTGTGAATATTATTCACTTTATTCAAAGGCATAAAGTTGTTTTGTCTCTGGATTTCAGCTCAATACGATCCGTACAGCGATTTTTCGTATGTAGCGTTGAACAAGCGACGACGTGGAGATATTGAACGACGAAATAGTGAAAAAATAGAAAATCGATATGCACAACCGGCTGTCAAGAAGGTTTACATAAAAGCGAACGGCGACCCG